TGTTTAATCTCACTTCACTAGAGCCTCTTGCAGCAGGGCCATACCGGTCTATCCCCTGGAACCAACACAATAGTCTTCCAGGACACGCTGCAAAGATTGCCTTGAGCCTTGGGCCCTGATATTCTCATTGTAAAAATACCAAGCCAAGTCGGATATGCTGTTCTCGCTGCATCCTGGGATGCAGTCTGCTGATGTCCTTCCATGCAGTTTTGTTACATAGTGCTAATTATATTATTCTCAACCCTCCCGACCCGGCTCACTGTGTCAGGAACAAGTCCTGACAGCATGACCGGCCACATACAGCTGTAGAATATGGACCAGTTGGTTCGACTGATGGGCTCAAATATGAGACTCTCAGGTACTTGGAACAACATGTTTTAGGCTGCATGAATGATCTTCCTGTGCTGCGACAGACCCGAACCCGAGCCCGTGATACGAACCCGAACCCGACAACGGCTCCAATCTGCCCCACACTACACTCCACTCACTCTATACAACGACCATGGGTGCGCATCATCCACGCTGCTTCGCTCGTCTCTTGAAGTCCAACGGGAATATACGCAAAGTCAGTTTTGAAACCGACTGATGATCTTTTTTGTGTTGACAAAATGTATCGGACCGGAAACAAACCGAAGGCAACCAGATTTCGCCAGCATTGGCCGTGGCATAGCCTGAAGATGAAAAGGCTATAAAGAGCTCGTATCTGGCCGTGGCAATCCGCTATCCTTAAGTCAATTTGGACAAAGTGTTGTATCTTTGACAATGAATTATCTCTTGGTCATTGCCTCATTGGCATCTTCTGCCTTCAGCTCATCCCTCGTCGGTTTTGGTCAAAGAAGCATAAATGCAACCAGCACAACCGCCGTTAGCACTGTCGACTTGGGAACAGGCGCCAGATGTGCGTGCAGCAAGCTTGCTGTTTCATACCCAAATTTGATTGTCTACCCTGGGTCGGCCAACTACACCTCCCAGGTCACGAACTACTGGGATATACGAGCAGACCTTGACCCGGCATGCATCTTTCTTCCTACTTCAGCTGAACAGGTAGCCGATGCTGTCGGTCTCTTTGCCACATGCGGTGCTCAATTTGCGGTTCGTGGCGGAGGACATATGAATGTATGAGACCCCCTAGCGAGAAGCCTGTATTCTCATTGACACTATATGCCATCTAGTATCCCGGATCGAACAACATTGACGGCGGTGTGCTTCTGGCCTTCGACAACATGAAAGAATATTTAGTGAGCAACGATACTATCGATGTTGCCCCAGGGATGACGTGGTATGATGTATATTCTGCGCTTGATCCATATGGTCGTGCTGCCATCGGCGGACGCCTGAAAACCATTGGTGTGCCTGGTTTGACCCTGATTGGTGGTGTATCCTACTTCATCAACAAGTACGGATTTGCCATGGACAATGTGGTCAATTACGACATCGTCTTGGGAAATGGCACGCAGGTTGCCGCCAATGCTACTTCGCATCCAGATCTGTTTTGGGCTTTGAAAGGAGGCGCGAATAACTTTGGCATTGTCACCAAGTTCACCCTCAAGACGTACTCTATGCCTCATATCAGCACAACAATCCAAGAGTTCAACGAAACGGCAGTCTACGATTTTATCAAGGCATCATGCGACTGGGTTGTTGCCGATAGTGACACTTCGATTGCCGCTGGATCTGTTCTAACCATCACCTACAACGCCACAACTGGAAGCGTCTCACCCTTACTTTTGGGAGTTCAAGAGGGTATCAGCAACCCTCCTTCGAAATTTGCCAACTTCACTGCTATCCCCGGCGTGTACAAAGTCAACAATGTTACGACCTCGAAGCAGTGGGCTGCAAACCTCGACTCTCCCAAGCAAATGTTCCGGTAAATGCCCGCTCATCCGTTATGTTTTCGGCCACCAGAGAGCTGACCACATAGTAGCGTCACCTTTGGCCATCACTCAATGTATCCCGACTCTGACGTCTTATACTCAATGTATCAGACGTGGAAGGCAGCAGTGAACCAAATTGCCGATGTCCAAGGTCTCTACCCTACGTTCGTAATCAACATCTCGCCTGCAAGTGCTGTCAAAGTAGGAAACACCAACGGGATCGGTAATGTCTGGGGACTAGCAGAAGAGCCTACTATCTGTGAGTTTCCCTCACCAGTACTCAGTAGGACCTGGTATCATGCTAACATACTCTCGATAGGGTGGCAATTAAGTACAGGCTGGGACAACGCTGAAGATGATCTTCGCGTCGAGGCGTGGGTTCGTCAGCTGGTGGAACACCTGCATGGCATTAACAAGCGCAATGGACTTGCCAGAGACTTCATTTACATGGGTGATGGTGGTGATTGGCAGGATCCTTTTGCCGGATTCCCTGGCGAGAATGTGCAGCGGATGAGAGAGATCCGTGAGCGCTATGATCCTCTGGGTACCTTCACGAGGTTGAACTGGGGTGGGTTCAAGCTTGGTAACTGAAGGATAAGATTACGGGGAAGGACGACCTTATTGTGAAGATGGGATGGCAGTGTTGCTCTTTTGGTTGGCTGTTGTTACTAGTTTAGACTTTACAGTCTAGAGTTGGATAGAAGGATGTTTTGAGCTAGAAAAATTTTTTAGATTCATTTGTATAATTCAAGTTAAGGAATGAATTCTTTTTCTGATTGAGAGATCCTGCTTGCACTGCACATGTGCATTGTGAAGAATAGAGCGTGTTGCCCCAACATCAGAAGCCGCTGCCTTCTATTAAGACGCATATTATGATCGTCTAGCTATTAGTCAATCCAATCTGGGGACTCAGTATCTGTGTAGTATTCATGATATACTATCTGCTCTACTAAGCAAGGTAATAGTAATACTAGGAAAAAGGAAAAAGAAAATAGAGAGAGAGAGGAGAAAGTTGGGAGAGGGGAAATTAAACATTAATACATAAATATCATGATATATCTCTGCACCTAGATCTCATGTACTACGATTTTTTTCTAACTAGTAGCAAGATGGGTTCTGCGTCAGGTCAACTGAATTACTCCCAAAGAGTTGGAGATTATCAGGCCATACTATTATTCAGCAACGTGGCGATTTCCTATCTTGAAGAGTAGAATAATTTGAAGAAAAGGTGTATGAGAAGAAGGGAAAACCATAAACCAGTATACATAAAAAAAAGGGTGAGACAAACAAAAAGAAAACAAAACAAATGAAAATGGAAAGGAAATTTCTAGTGAGTTAGGTACAGGGAAAATGTTGGAGATACAGTTATCACACATTTCCACCCTCACGTCTCAAGCTGAGCTCCTCAAGATCAAGACGCTGATGATAAACGTCATCTTGCAGAACAATTGACGGGTGAAACAAATTCATGGTCAACATGACCAGAAACATCATCGACGCGTCGAGAACATATAAGAAAACTTCATGGCTAATCACATAGCCACTATTACCCTGCGCAAACTCAATAAGACGGTAAACCGATCGGATGAGGATCAGAACGCTGACAAAGTAGCATGCGAATAGAAGACCTCTCCAGTCCTTTGGCAAGCACCTTTTTGCGGAGCTCATTGTCTTATCTGATTTTGCTGTAGGGTTTTGGTTTATTCTGCAGTGAAAGGTAATGGAGGCAATTAAGAAGGCTCCGAAGAAAAGTAGCTGCACACATAGACCCACTACAATGACCCACTGGCCTATTTTCATGGAGCTTGTGGAGCCGTTGGCCATTATGCCGCCGCCTTTGGGGTATGAGATTAGTATATACATCCCCGTGTGTAGGAAGGGTCCTAGTGACTAACTCACCTGCACCTTGGAGGATAAAAGACAGAATGTCGCCGGAGACAAAGATTTTTGTCAGCCATTTCACGGGAATAACGCTCAGATGTCGCGCATCTAGAAAGGTGATGATCCTCCCTAAGACCATGTATATCGATGCTGCGTAGAGAGTTGGTGCCAGTAGAAGAAGAAGGGTTTGTACAGAGTATAGAGTCGTTGAGGTCTGGTCAAAATGGGCTTTGGCGCGAGCGATGTAGCCAATTACTTGGACTTAATAGCGTAAGTCAGTACATGGGAGCAAACACATCGACACACCTCTCGAGCCAAAAGTCTAACTTACACACTCCTCCAACAATAAAGGGATTGAAGTACTTGGCATGGCTCCGAAGTCGTTGATAGAAGTGGAATCCCGTGGTCAAAATGAACAGCGCAGCAAATATCACCGCAGCTGCCAGGCTGGGATCGTACCCATATAGAACGAAAGTGGATCTGGGGAAGAGCATCGTTGCGAGGCTTTCAGAAAGAAGCTATGGTGGGTGTTTGTCAAAGAGGCTCGTAATTGACAATGTTTGAGATACAAAGAGGGCTATTGTAGCCCTTTTAAAGGTGTAGTTCATGCTGTCGAAAGAAAGATTTTTTTGTTGCCTCAAGACGTAATCTTAGGCAGTAGCATTCGTTAGACACAAGTCGTGTTCGGGTTCAACTCTACCACTTAAGCTTGTCACAATGTATATGATCCCAAGATGGCCACGATGTTTTCATGGTTGATATCGAGCTGGGTGGGTCCTTGAAATAGATCAAAGCCTGGGCCTTAGTCCCGAACCCGAATACGAACCCGAAAGCTTCTTCAGGCAGTCCAAGTGGATTGTTGTCGATCGACCGTTTTATTGTGTCTGATTCTCCGTGGATCCATGTTCCAAAAGATAGTCATTGGTCATGGCCTCTATTCCCTTGCTAGGTGGAGACTAGTAGTTTCCACGAACGCTACCCTAACTCCAATGCGGTCGGTTTTACTCAGCCCCGTACATGTTGCCTGGGGGTCTAAATACTACTACTATATTTATCACTTCGCTCCAAGGCTCCAATTTATGTAGTCGAAATGCTAGTGACTATCCCCCATCAAGTATGGACCCAGTGATGCCAGAAATAGGGACAGGGATTTCTGCTGGCAAATAAGTCTCTCTTTCCTTTTCACTTCGACAATTATTCCATCACTTTGCGAACAGGCGTCAGCCTGTCTAGAGCACCACAATCATGTCCGGTAATAAAGAAACCAAGCTTGTGGAGGATTATAGTAAACATGACGAGTGTTTCGAAGATCCTCCGCCTGCATACTCATCAGCGCGCAATTCGTGTGTTTCGTCCGAAATCTCGCTGTTCACGATTGAGCCGGACTTTGCTCCTGAATTCACGAACGATTCTCGCGACTTAGAAAACTATTGTGCTGCTGCTGGTAAGGCCCTTATCGCCCTTTGGGGCTTTCAATCTGAAGGTCGGATTGCTCACAATTAACCCGCACAGAAGATGAGAAATTTAGTCTCAACCCAGACCTTGCAGCACGGACATCTGCTTTTATTCAGGCCTTTATGCGACCAAAAGCGCAGGCACGATTAGTGAGCGTGGGCTTAGACGAAAAGGAGCCTCAACATACTGGCCAGATTACCCAGACACGGGAGAATGTCACGCTTCCACCTTTGGACATCGTGCTGATGGTTGTTGAAGGTATTTGGCACCAGATCGCCTTGTGCCGTGACCCCTCGCTAACAAAATGCGAAAATAGAGAGCATAAGACCTTTTCTAGCTGTGGCAAAGCAACTTTCAGGAGACTCGCATCGAGTTCGGATTGCTGCGGCTGCATCTTGCGAATACCTGGTCAGAAATCAGGGTCTTGATTTCTTCGCCATAACTTATGACCACGAGCTACCCCTATCCATGGTAATTGCTATACATACTCCCTAGCTATGAACAAGAGTCTCGGTTAACTTTGCCAGCATAACATGGGTGATGCCCATCCTTCAGATGAAGCTCAGGCTCGGCTTCAATATCTGAGGAGAGTTCAGCAATCATATTATGAGGTCTACCACCGATGCTGGAGGGCTTGCATTGCTCCTTACAAGGGGGACTGCCGACCGTTTCTAGCAGACGCAATTATTGCAAATCCTATGGCTCGTGCCCACATCCATTGTGCTGAACGACTTTCAATCCCTCTTCATATCATGTCCGCCTTGCCTCAAACCCCGACAAGAGCATTTGCACATCCACATGCCCGGATAAACCCATACGATGGCGTCGACCAATCTACTTCAAACGTGCTTTCTTATGCGTTAGTTGAGGAATCGACGTGGAATGTGTGAGTAAGCAGGAGAAACTTTTGACTTTTAGGACTAGGCTAACATGTAGTTTATTACTTTCGGACAGTATACTCAAGCCCATCAACAAGTTTCGACAACAGATTCTGGGCTTGATGAGCATATCTCCGGTTACAGCGGGAAGGCTCATGGCTGATCACGAACTTCCTCACACGTATTTCTGTTCAAAGGTTTTAGTTCCGCGGCCAAATGACTGGAGCAGTAACCACGGTAGGTCTTGTTGCTGCTATAGACCCTTGAGTGGAGTGCTTGAAGCTGATGAGAGCCACAGAGATTTCGGGTTACTTATTCGAGCAACGTGATCTTTCTTTCACACCAAGAAAAGACCTGGAACATTTTCTAGTCTCGGGCCCCGCGCCTATTTTTCTGATGCTACCAGAGAATAGCATGAAGGATATATACCGTCTGGCGCTGATAATCCAAGATGCTATTTTGAAGAAGGGATACCGTGTCCTACTTTCCAGGGACTGTAGACGCCTTGGTGAGCTATTGAACAGTACCAACGTGCTCATCATTGAGTCTGTTCCGCTTGGTATGCTGAAAACGTCACTTATATTATTGTTGTTACCTTGATGCTGATAAATCTTATATATAGAGTGGTTACTTCCGAGAGTGGCTCTTGTAATACACAATGGAAGCCCATCCAGCACACAATTGGCTCTACAGTACGGAAAGCCAAGTGTGATCATCGCCACAACAGAAAAGTAAGCCTACTCAACATTATTTAATCAAGCAGGCGTGCTGCTACTGACCTTACTAGTCATCTGTCAACTGCACATACAATTGCCAAAATCGGAGCCGGCGCTTCGCCACTGATGAGCAGAACGCTTACCTCTGAAGGCCTGGCGCAGGCAATAGCATTTGGTCTCCGTACAGATGTTCAACAGTCAACTCAAGCCATTAAGCGACAGGTAGATGAAGAGGCAGGACTTGAGAATGCTATTCGATTCTTTTATCGCTCTTTGCCTTCTCAAGTACAGACATGCGGTATCACCAAACACGATCTAGCCATGTACCAGATTTGGAACAGGCCATCGCTCGTGATATCATCCGAGGCAGCTGCAGTTCTAGTACAGGAGAGCCGGATCAAAATCACTGATATCGTGCTGTAAGTGGGACCTGTCGCTGAATGTTGCATGTCTGCCTGGACACTAATTGTCAACTCCTATGAACTCAGGATCAACCGTTGCATCTACAAATTACAAGCCGAGAGCTCCGCCTCTTATGATGGTACAGCTAAGGAATACTGGAATGGATTCACCAATGCGGCAAAGGATATAGTAACCGCTTCGGACCTTGTTAGCATGATTTCAGGTCGTCAAAAGGTATTTGTCTATCGTAACATCTCTGGACATTATATTGGGCTAAAACTGCTATAGGATAACTCGACGGACGAGGAGAGGAAAGTTAAACGGAGTGTCGCTCGTGACGTTGGTGTTGGGACCGCAAAATTCTTTGGACACATTGCCTTGTTGCCATTCACGAGTCAGTAACCCTTTCAACCCCAGTTTGATATAGTCTGTCACTCACCTAGCAAGTATCAGGCACTGCACTAGTAGTGAACACCGTCACATACGGAGTCAAAAGCGTCAAGAAGCACCAGGCGCAAGGCGAGAAACGCGAAGAAACGGATGTCGCGGCTACTTATGATGTGAGAAGGGTTTCATTACTTGTTGACTGAATAGGGCTGACCAACTATTAGATCGCTGGCGATGATGAATGTGATGCAGCTGCTTCCAAATACCCTACCTTTGGCCCTTCGCGAGAAGGGGCGGATCCAGCAAAACAGGCATGGCAGAGAGGTTCCTCGCACATTGGCATCACGGCAGGTAAGCAGCTCATATTGATGATTAATCCATAAACTCTGTGCTGGTTCCAAGCAGATGCTGAGGCTAGGACAGGTTCAAGCGCGACCCCGACAGCGAACCAAATACAGCTCAAGAATGAGGAGCACGTTGAAGCTATTTGCCGGCGACATCTGGACCGTGGTTTTAAGAGTCCTAAGGTAGCTGATACAGCATTCAGAGAGAGGGTTCTTTCTGCCTTTGAAAACGGAGTCATGTAAATGAACTAGGCTTTATTCATAATGGACATTTATACCACCCAAGCCTTACTGAGATAGTAACCGCAAAGAGTGCCGTAGATATTGTAGCGGATTACCAAAAGGCATAACAACTGTTTAACTAAAGTCATTGATAGTTATGCGCATGTTAGTTAGCCAGAACATCGCAAGCATAAAAAGGGTGGAGCCGTAAGGGTCACGTTTGCCATGTTTGCACCCGGCAGATTATGCTAGCGCAAGCCAAGAAGAGCTAAGTTTGCCGGCTCAGGCTTCCATGATTCAAGTATCACTACTGTGACGAAGGCCTCGATGCAATACAGCTGGAACGTGGCAGCCTGATTGCCCAAGAATAATTGCACTCTTAGTGCTATAACATTGCAATGGTTATTGCAGGCATCCACGGCATCTAAAGAGCAGATAACGGAAGAGATGCACTCTGCTACTGTCCAGAGCTCACTTGAAATCCTGGATCCTGGATAGCCAAGTTGAATTCCAATTAGCCTTCTTGCTCTATTTGGATCATATCTCTCATCGGCCAAATACTCGGGCTGCTCTAAGTTGTTCATATGTACACGATCGGCCTTGGTGCAGCCTACACATAGTGTTGACGAACATACACGAACCCTGGCGCAAAATGCACAATAGCTCTACTATCAAAGGCCGCCGGTCCCATCGAAAGTCACGCAGCGGTTGTCAACAATGCAAGTTGCGAAAAGTCAAGGTAAGTCACAATAAGCTGATGTTCGAACACGCCATGCATTTGAGATCTCGATGCTGACCTGGTCCCAGTGTGGAGAAGAGAAGCCGACATGCGGCAATTGCAAGAGACATGGAGTTCATTGCTCGTTTGCTCTCTCAACTCGAATGGCAGAGCCATCCCTGTTAGGTGATCAAAACTCCTTCTCTAGCCAAACATCCACCCCACAATCCGACTGCAGACCAAGCAACCCCAGCTCTCCGAGCGGTGGTGCAAGTCTGCCGCAGATGGCGGCGGCACCAGGGCCAGAACTGGCCATTGCCGACCTGGAGCTTTTGCATCACTACAGTACTTCCACCGCCTATACATTTTCGTTTCACCCAGTCATCCAGACACTATGGCGCATCGAAGTGCCCCAAATAGCGTTCAAGGCGCCTTATACCCTCCGCGCAATCCTAGCCGTTTCCGCATTGCATCTGGCCGTTCTACGCCCCGAAAAACAGGAAAATTATATCTCCCAGGCGAGCTACCATCACGAAGCATCCTTGAAACTCGCAACTCCAGAAATAGCCAACATCACATACGACAATTGTACGCCGTTATTCCTCTTCTCAGCGCTTTCATCATTCATCTGCTGCGCCAAACCGCTCAAAATGGGCAACTTCCTCCTTTGGGAAGACCACGAAATCGCCAACTGGCTAATGATCATTCGAGGCACTGGAACCATTATCGACTTTGCCGAGGAATCCCTTAAGACAGGGCCATTGAGAACATTATTCAGCGTCCATCGACAACGTCATGATCATTCCGAGATCCCCGAGCCGCCAACACAGCACCAATTCCTCGAGGACTTTCGCCGCTTCGTCCTACATGAGGCCACAGATGATCACGAAAAGCAGGTCTATTGTGATGCGATCTTTCATTTGGGCACTTGCTTTACGATATGCTTTGAGAAAGGATGGCGGCTGGAGACGTCAGACGTGTTCAGGTGGCTTCTGCGTGTTCCTCATGACTTCCTTGTCTTTTTGAAAGAATACCGACCCCTTTCTATGGTGATTTTGGGATACTTTTGTGTACTTTTACATCAGTTGGAGTGGATATGGTGTATGAAGGGATGTGGTACTCATATCTTGTCGCAGATTTATAATCAGCTCCGTGAACCTGTTTATCGAGCTTGGCTTCAGTGGCCGATGGAACAGATCGGGTTTCTTCCATCAAGGTAGTAATTCACTATATATGACGCTTTCAGCATCTATCAATAAGTGTGAACTGAATATACAACATTTCTCCCAACAATTAATTAGCACTGCCAAAAAGGCTACATGGTATCTTCTTAGTCTAACTATCAGACTATGACTTGGGTCTTCAAGAACCCACTCCCCAGAAAATATCATTAAGTTTTGAAGAAGAATCTCAGAAGACCCGAACAGATTATCGAGGAAGGATAAGGAAATGATAAACGAAAGAGAAAGAAAACCGGAGGCGCAGTTAATCTTTTTACATGCCACAAATGAAAGGATAGCAGTGGAAGAATCGATGCGATCAGTGGTGATGTTCATCCTCACACATTGTCGCGTCCGTATCCTTTCTCCGCACATATGTCTCCCGCACGAGGTCGCCCTCGTGGGCTTTCAGCTCCCATTTCCCGATTCCGTATTCTGGCAGTGCTATCTTTCTACCGCGCCCGCCTCCGCCCATGATCAAGTTACCTGGGCGGTAGTTGGGGTTTGTCTGCATGCGACGCAGCGCAGAGACATGGATCTGAGCATCATCGGGAATGTCGCGAACCTCTCCGCAAGGGAGGGGCCACCGAATCGGCTTCCACGAACCGTCTTTTTGTAGGTCCATTCGTCGGAATGGAAGGTACTCCATAATGCGCCAGGTTATGACGGAGAGTGGCGATAAGCCGGCATTGAACTCCAGACAGTCGTGCAAGAAGCCGTCCGTGCTGGAGGCAACAAGGGCATCGTGGAAGCTGTTGCTTGACTCAGAAGCATTCTTCTTTCGCTCTTCACCGGCCAGCTTGAGCATGTGCTGACCGTTCCCAGCTTCCTTGTGAATAGGATCGCGACAGAATTCGTGTCGAGGGTGCCATCGGCTGTGTTCGTTGATTGGGGTATATTCGCCGTCGTATTCTTCATCGCATTCGAACTGCTTCAGTTTCTTTGGGTCAAACTGCAACCCGGCCTTTTTTGCTTCCTGGACCATCCACACCAAGGGCGCATGGCTCAATGGCCATCTCTCGTCTTTTGCCGGTTTCCATCCTCCTCCAATGTCGGCGTGACAGCCGGGAAACCATACTTCCTGTATGTCCTGTTTTCTCTCGTCCTCCTCGTCGACTTGGCCTGTTGCAAGCTGTATGTTAAGCGACAACTGCCCTGACTGTCCACTCCTGATGGAGTTAAGATCCTCTGTTGACTCCGTGGGTATAGGTATGGCGAGGTTCAGGCTCCTTCCGGGCACTGCAAGGTTGCTTGCGCGGTATGGATGACAATCATGGAGATTTTCATGAGAGGCGTGGGCACTACGATAGACCGATGCTGTCTCTTCCTCATCGTGCTCAGCGGGTGGCTCGCCGTCATCCGTACCAATGTTACCGCTGTTGATCCTGAGCACGGGTACATTTCCATTCCTGCGCCCCCCCAGAGGATGACGGAGGTGTTGCATATACTGTCGTCCTCGCTCTTGGATGGGGTGCTTTGTATTATGCCATGGCCTGATTTCGGAGATCAAGTCTTGGCGGAATTTGGCTCGTCGCTCATCGATGCTGACCGCATGTCGAATGACTCGGGCCGAGCTTCGGGCGGTATAAGGAAATTTGCTTCTTTCCATCCACGCTGATTCGAACCTGGGAACGCTATTGACCGTATCAAACAGGCCCATAAACTTGATCCTACTAATAGGACGACTGAATGTCTCGCGGAACGCTTTCATGTAGCGGAACAGCTTCTTCTTCTCTTCCTTTTCCTCTTTGTTGTCGTCTCGTCGCTGCTGCCACTTAGCGAACGTCTTCCAGGCGAATCGGACTAGCTCCTCATTTCCGGCCTCGAGTAGGCCAATATAGTCTAACATCTCGGCAAGAAAGCGGGCGATATAAGAGCCTCTACTGAACCCGATGAAGTAGATGTCGTCGCCGGTTTGGTAGTACCTCATGAGGAACTTGTAACCGCCCATCACATGTTCGTCAAAAGAGGAACCAACAGCGGAGTCTTTGGCTTTGAAGTATGCCGATTTGATCTTTTGAATTCGTCCATGGCTAGAAAGCGACTTGCTTGTAACGTAGGTTCCGATACCAGGTTGGTAGTAGTGGAACTGGTGGCTCTTACTCCGATCAAGCATCTTCAAGTGCCAAAGACAATCCGTGAGTAAACCGATCACAAAAAACAACTAGTATGGCGGGACCTGCCTCGCGGCTCACTCACCCGAAAGATCTTGAGAACATTGCTATCCGACGAATCCCCACTAAACTTGTTTCCAGTGCCATCAAAGCACAGGACAAAGTGCTTTGGGACCCGTGCAGGGCCATACGGCGTCTGTGTGGCTTCCATTGTTCACGACAGACAGTACTAAGGAGGATATAGCTCAGCCAGTCTTCATACGGTCGCAGCGTGGAGGGGGCTTGTTCTCCTTTCCAGATGGTAGGCTATGTGCCGACCAGCGTGGAGGTGGGTTTGGTGTATATACATTCGAGGGAGATGGGGCAGTAATGCCGCTTATGCATGAACGACTAAGACTCGGGGCCCTACGCCGCGCCCGTCAAAGAGGGTGCACGCGGACGCTTCCCCCCTCCCCTGATAGAGTTCCTGCAGGCTCGGATTTTTGCCCGGGTTAGTTTCGCTAAGTGGAACACACAAGAAAAGTGGTTGGCGGATGAGGTTGTACCAGCCAACATTCCTGGCAGCTAGTGTGGGAAGGCTGTCATCACATCTTTTTTCCCTTGCCTTTCACTATTGACCAGTCGCTTTGATTCGGCGAGGATGTACCCCACCGGCCTTCATAACCCTGGCAGACGTCAGCTGCGGACTTGCGGAAATTGGTACATTCAGCTCAGCCCGTCAGAAATGGTGGCCAGAGGCTAAGACTGCGCCTACAGGGATTGTGCGTATGGCAAATGCCAGGCTCACACGCATAGACCCCATCCGGCGATCACCTTCTTCACGGACCATATTCGGCATTATTTGCAACACTAGTTTGTCTTGACGTTCCTACTCTGGTGGGTGATTGTTGAGCACGACCCATGGGTGGGTTCGGGTGTCAGGAATAGATTCTTAGATGGCAGGCCGCCAAGAACGTGGTGTTAGCACGC